CTTCTCCAAACAGAGAGTTTATTTAAAAAAAAACAGTACAGAACTTAGAGAAAGTGATATTTGAATCCAAAAAGCAACCACCATGTTTAAAAGGATTCCGCACGACAGTTCGAGCAATATTGGAATTGTTTGAAGATTTTAATCAAAATTATGGCGTTCATGAATTGTGTACTCGAAGATTAAATCAAGATCCGTTAGAAAATTTATTTGCGATCATCAAGCAACAGCACGGTTGCAATGTGAATCCGTCTTCGCGTCAATTCGAACATGGCATGCGACACATATTAATAACACAATTGTCAAAAATCTCAAAATTCACAAACTGCGAGATTGATAAAAATAATATTTTTCTTAAACTTTCATCGCTCAAAAATATCGCTAGTAAAGAGAGTAATTTTGAAACAAATACAGAAACAAATTTGATACCGTCAACTATAAATTTTCAAGTTGATTACGTTGAGAATAAATGCGAAGAATTCAACCGGTTTATTACATATCAGGATACTTATGTAAACAATTTTTTTCTAAACACGATTGTACGCTATGTAAAAGCATGTTGCAAATGCGACGAAGATAACGATTTTTAGAAGTATAAGGCATTCACCATTTGCAAACAATACGAAAATTCTGAAGGATTTATCATTAAACACGAAATTTTTTTGTACAGACGTGGGAACAACATTTCACCTCGATCATTCGCAATATTCACTGTAAGAACGTTTGTAAAAACTCATAGCGTTCAAAACTGTTGTCCGCAAATTACATTATGTAGCGATGAAGCAACAACCGCATTTCACAAAAATTTTATGATAATTCGCTGTCATTGGGAAGCGAGATTCATTCGATAAGAATGAAAACATTTCGAAAAAAGATCTAACAAAGTGATAGAAATAAAAAAAGAAAGAATTATGTACGAATCCAGATAACTATGTTGCATTAGACGTCTTTTAGATATCTTATGCAACATAAGTGTTATCTGGAAACTGTTGTAAATATGTGTATGTGTATGTACGAAACTATATTTTATAATAAATATTTATAATTAATTTTTACAGGAAATTTAATAATGTATTTGACACGTTATACAATCTAGTAATAAGTATTTTTAATTGAGTTTATATTATTCAATGCGTTTATATCATTCAAATATGGCGCGATCACTAAAATTAATTCCGTACTGAACCACCGAGAGCGTTGAAACTCGATACGAAATTTATTATTGGGTTCTTATGGGCGCTTTTACTCTATCTCTTATCCTCTTTGTTTAACAGAAGTACCGACGAGATATTATTAAAGACCGTCAACAGGACAAATTTTCGGCGGTATAAAAAGGGCCCGAAGGTAATTGAAGAACACTGACATTATCGACAATTAATATAAATTTGTTATTATTAACATAAATATTTACATACATTATTAAATTCATGATTTTTTATTACATAAATGTTCCATAAATAAATATGCATACTTGTAAAGCTATAATATCCTATATATTGCAGAAAAATTAAAATTTTTCTCTGCAGTTATCCAAGAAGGGAGGAGTGATAACGGATATGATAAAGGGAATAAGGAGAGAGCTGGTGGAAAGGGGGGATGAAGAGGAAAAAGAAGTGGAAGGAATAATGATAGGGAGGATAAGGTGTGGAAAAAATAGTTGGAGGATAGTGGGAATCTATAGAGATTTGGAGGAGAAATTGGAGGATTTAAGGAATGGATGGAGGAGAAAGGAGGGGTGAGAATAATAGTGGGAGGGGATTTTAATGCGAGAACGGGGAAGGAGGATAATTTGAATGTGAGGAGGAAGAGCAAGGAAGGAATTCAAAGAATAAAAAGATAAATAGAAAAGGGAAGAAATTGTTAGAGTTCATTAGTGATAGAGGATGAATAATTTTGAATGGGGAGATAGAGGGGGATGAAGAAGGGGAATAGATATACATAGGCTGCTAGAAAAGTTTCTGCAATCTAGTACTTCCAGTGACGCCAATGTTCTGCTACTATCATATCCGTAAAATTAGACGTTTTTAACCTATAATTCAATTGACAGTTTGTACCCAAGCCAACTAGTTTTGTTTGCATAGTATTTTAAAAGAAGTTATTTTGTAAGAAAATGGAAATTTCGCGTGAAAATTTTCGGGCAATGATTTTTTACGATTACAAATGTAATCTAACTCCGAAACAATGCATCGATCGACTTCATTTGGCTTTTGGGGATGAAGCACCATCCAATAGGACTGTTTATAATTGGTTTGTCGAATTCCAGCGTGGACGTACCTTTCTTAGTGATAAATTTCGTGAAGGTCGTCCATCCACGTCTGTTGTTGCTACTAATGATGATGCTGTGCGTGAAATGATTGAGCGAGACCGGCATATAACATACCGCGAGATTCAGGCATCCTTAGGCATTGACATGAAAGCAATACATACGATTTTGCATGATCACTTGAGCGTACGGAAACTTTGCAGTCGTTGGATCCCACACAATTTGACCGAAGCTCAAAAACAGGCTCGTGTTAAATGGAGCAAAGAAATGCTCAAGAAATTCAACCGAGGTCAAATTTGGTCTACAACATCGTTACCGGAGACGGAACATGGATCTATTCGTATGAGCCCGAAAGTAAACAACAATTCGCTGTTTGGGTATTTCAAAATAAACCGAAACCAACAAAAGTTGTTCATTCACGCAGTGCTGCCAAGCAAATGATTGCTTGTTTCTTCGGTTATACCGGACAACCGTGGCTTTAGAGGATCGAAGGACTGTAAATACTGATTGGTATACAACAATTTGTTTGCCAGAAGTCACAAATGAATTGCGTAGAACAAACCGAAATCGTCGCATCATCCTTCATCATGACAACGCCAGCTGTCACACAGCACGTCAAACCGTTGATTTTTTATCCAGTAATAATGTCGAATTGATGACTCATTATCCGTATTCATCTGGTTTATCACTTAATGACTCTCTTTTTGTTACCAAACATTAAAAATAAGATGCATGGTGAGCGATTTGAGTCGTCTGAAGCAGCTGTTGAAACATTTCGTACATTGATTTCTGAGGTTACAGCCTTAGAGTGGAAAAAATGCTTCGAAAATTGGTTCGAGCGTATGCAAAAATATATCGATCTTAAAGGCGAATACTTCGAAAAACAATAAAGCCATTTATCGAATTTTACGTTTTTTTTTCATATTATTTGCAGAAACTTTTCCAGCAGCCTACGTATTATTAACATAAATATTTGGCTCATACATTATTAAATTCATGATTTTTTATTATATAAATATTCTATAAATAAATATGCATACTTGTAAAGCTGTAATATCCCATATATTGTAGAAAAATTAAAATTTTTTCTCTGTAGCTATCATCTTTGTTGATAATAAAACTTGACGATAATACTGAAATCACAATTTTAAAGAAAAATCAAGTATTGAGTTATAAATGCATAAATATATCTACTAAATAAATCATAAAATTAGTACAATATTATCAATTTTTAACTCTTAATTACTTCAAGGATGTCGGTCTTTAATAGTATCTTGTTGGTGACGCGACCAATGACTCAGTATATTGTTACGCTTGCCGTGCGTTATTCGCTACACATAACCGAATCACCAGTCCGAGTGAACGTGCACGCTTGAATCGCGGAAATAACAACGCGTAAATTATAAAAAGGCATTTGATTTTTTATTAATACTTACACAAAGGCAACGGTTCGTAAGTTACAGGGAATAATGTTTCTGAAGGAAGCGATTACGAACGGACGCGTTGACAGTTCACAACCCGATCCAACTCAGACGGCCCGCGTCTCCTCGGCAACTGCTTGGCGCCTGTCAATCCTTCTCGCTCGTGACACGATTCAGCGCGCAGAGAATCGAAGCACCATGGATGTAACAATATCTAATTTATGATCATCATAAGGAAATGTAAAATTGTAGTTTAATATTATATTATCATTAACAGTTCGTTCGTATACACATCAACGTAATTTAGATTTTTTTTTTTAAGTTTCAGTATTGTAAAATAACATATTGTACAACAATATATAACATATTGTATTAGGAGGTTTTAATTTCCCAAGAGACTTTACATTGACTAATTCTGCATCTAGTATTGAACTTGTATGTTGTGTAAGTGAAACTCGGCATGTATCACAATTGATATGTTTTAACATTTTCTTTATTATAAAACCTGTAATAATTAATACAATCCATGACTGCTGGCATTTTGTAATCTTTTTCTATGATATCGTTACATTTCCATTTAGATGTTTTAATGAGACCATCTAATTTATTTTTTTAAAAATGTAAATGTTCTTATAAGATTAATTTTTAGAATTAAAAATTGTATGGTATTCTTTCTGTGTAATAAATAGTTTCGTGGTATCAATAATTTCATTATTAATATTACAATTGCTAAATTTCAGAAGTTTCACAATTTTATATATTGATAGCAGTCGATATAACTGTTAAGAATATGAGATGCATTTTAACGCAGCTTGTCGTAAAATTCCAAAAAATTGCAAAAATAAAAATTCAATTCAAGATTGTGAAACTTATTTAAAAAAGTATTTTATTCTATATTTCAATAGATTTTTATACCTTTAAATAATCTTGCGTAATTTTCCTGTAGAATATATTCAAAACCAAATTTTTCAATTAAATCTCTATATTAATAATATGGTAGATATGGGTGGATCCATATATTCGTTCAGTTTTTGTCAGTAGTGCAAATTTTTTCCGAATATCTCCGGTTCTGGTTGCCTAATCGGACAATTCAAATATGTTTTAGAAAGGTGACAGTCCGCTCTTTTCATCTGTCAAATTTGGTTTCATTGGCATTAGTTTTGTTTGTGCTATAGACCTGTGAACATGTCGGAGAATAAGGTGCATTTTCGGCACATTTTGCTTTATTACTTCAAGAAAGGCAAGCGAGCTGCGGAGGCCCACCGAAAGATATGCGGCGTATACGGGGACGATGCCTTAACAGAACGTGCCGCTCAGAAATGGTTTGCCAAATTTCGTTCCGGAGATACGATCTTGAAGATGGACCCTGCAGCGGTCAGCCCACCGAGGTTGATTCGAATGATATCAAGGCACTGGTTGAGCAAGGCCGGACGCTAAAGGTGCGAGAGATTGCGGAGACACTTAAAATAGGTTATGGAACCGTACAAAGGCATTTGCAACAGCTTGGCTACGTGTCCCGCCTCGATGTTTGGGTGCCGCACAAGCTGACCGAGGAGAACCTGGCCAACCGCATATCCATCTGCAATTCACTTCTGAAGCGGCACGAAAGCGACCCGTTTCTCAAACGAATAGTGACTGGCGACGAAAAGTGGATCATCTATGACAACATAGTGCGCAAGAGATCGTGGGGAACCGCTGGCGAGCCGCCGAATGCCACCCCGAAGGCCGGCCTGCATCCGAAGAAGATTTTGCTATCCATATGGTGGGATCATCGTGGTGTGCTGTTTTACGAGCTGCTTCCTCAGGGAAAAACGATCGATTCGAAGATCTACTGCACGCAGCTAACGAAATTGAATCAAGCATTGCGACAGAAACGTCCAGAACTGATCAATCGCAAAGGTGTCATATTCCACCATGACAACGCCAGACCCCACACCGCAATAATCACTCAGCAAAAATTAGTGCAACTTGGCTGGGATGTTTTGCCTCACCCACCGTATTCACCAGACCTTGCGCCATCCGACTATCACTTGTTCCGGTCCCTGCAAAACTCTCTCAACGGGAAATCATTCGCTGATCAGACAGCTGTGAAAACGTACCTCGACCGGTTTTTCGCCTCTAAGCCCCAGATCTTCTATGAGAGCGGAATAATGAAATTATTGGAAAGATGGCAAGAAGTCATCAACAAAACGAAGAATATATTATTGATTCATCCTTTGAAAAACTTGTTTCATTTTAGCCTTCAAAAACCGAACGAATATATGGATCCACCCAAATTAATGTATCGCAAACTCTCTGCTATACTCATACAGTATCAAAAATTTTTAGAAATATCTTAGAAATATTTCAACTGAAAAGTAAAACATTTCATAAAAATTGCGAAATATGTCGGCAACATTTCTGAGGTAGCTTTGAAATAGCAAAATGTTCACAATGATATTTTGTTAAAAGGTTGATGAAATGTCATAGAAAAAATCTACAATTTTTTTGAAATATTACCGAAGAGGTTTCAACCATTTTTAGTACTACAAAAATGGTATTTAAATATATATTTGATTGATACTTAAATAATATTTAAATTTATTATATTAATATAATAAATTTGAATACTGTTCAAGTATCAATTAAATATATATTTAAATATCACTTCTAAAGTACTTAAAATTTATTGAGAGTTTTGCAATCCTATTTACAGATACGAGGATGGTCCCAGAAGTACCCGACCTAACAAAGAAAACACAAAAAATTTGGGAAAAAATATCTTTATTTCTCAACATAGTCTCCTTTTAGCTCGATACACTTTTCCCAGCGATGTTCAATAGCTTCGATGGCCTGTTTATAGTAAGAACCGTTGAACTCCTCAAAATAGCCATTAACCGCAGACTCCACCTCTTCATTGTTGGTAAATCTTCTACCACCGAGCCATTTTTTCAAGTTTGGAAAGAGAAAATAATCCGAGGGGGCTAAATCTGGCGAATAGGGTGCGTGGGGAAGCAATTCGAACTTTAACTCATTGATTTTGGCCATCGCGATAATGGATGTGTGAACTGGTGCATTGTCTTGATGAAATAACACTTTCTTTTTCGCCAAATGTGGCCGTTTTTCCTTGATTTCATCACCCAAACGCTGCAATAAGTTTGCATAATACTCGCCATTGATTGTTCTTCCTTTCTGAAGGTAATCAATGAAAATTATGCCACGCGCATCCCAGAAAACTGACGCCATGACCTTGCCTGCCGATGGAACTGTTTTTGCTTTCTTCAGTGCCGATTCCCCCTTTTCAGTCCATTGCTTCGACTGTTCCTTCGTTTCAGGTGTAAAGTGGTGGACCCATGTTTCATCCATGGTTATGAATCGGCGCAAAAATTCGACTTTGTTGCTGCGAAACATCGCCAAACACTCGATTGAAACATCCTCTCGACGCTGCTTTTGTTTGATTGTGAGCAAGCGCGGCACCCACCTTGCGCACAGCTTTCTCATCTCCAAATTTTCAGCCAATATGCGATGTACAGCACTTTTTGAAATGTTTACCATGTCTGCTAGCTCGCGCGCTTTCAATCGACGGTCACCCAATACCATTTTGTGGATTTTCTTCATCATTTCTGGAATGGCCACCTCACTTGGTCGACCCCTGCGATGTTCGTCTTCGCAGCTCGTACGGCCTCGTTTAAACTCTGCCACCCAATATTTTACTGTTGTAAACGAAGGAGCAGACTCCTCCGGAGTAGAATCCAGCTCGGCTTTGATATTGGTTGGGCTAAGACCTTTCAAATGAAAGTATTGTATCACATAACGATGATCAATTTTTTCCATCTTTGCAAATTCACCGAGATCGTTCACTATTGATGGCTGCCAAACAAATACTGAACAACGTAGAATAGCGTCTTCAAACTTCATAGTTAGCTTTAGAAAGTTAGTGCTTTCCCCTACGGTGATTTTTTTTATACAACAACCGCCATCTATATGTCAGGTCGGGTACTTCTGGGACCACCCTCGTAACAAAACTTATTGAAATAAACTTAAAGTATTTCTCAAAAATATTAATTATATTGCCAAATTTTATTAATCTATTTTGATTAATCATATTATATGCATAAGCACTTATACATAATTACTTTTTAAAAAATCACACCTGCAGTTTCCACAAAATATTGTATACAAAAATTTTTCGCAATTAAAACAGAAAAAACCATTCATATACAAAATTTTTTGTAATCAAAAGTAGAATAAGTCATAATAATATGAAAATAATGTTAAATTGAATCACAATTGATCAAAAAATGATTTTTAATAAACATTTTGGAGTCATTTTATGATTTTTTGTTCTGTTTAAATATATTTTTCAATTTATTGCATATGATTTTAAAAACATTTCTGTTGAAACATTTCATATGACATATTGCAGAATTCTTTCGAACTTGTTGTATATGAGATATGAAAGGTTGAAACATTTCTGAAAATTTTCCATAATAATCAGCTGGGTACTTTCTATTAAAAATTATTCCCTTGTTATTGTTTCATTGAGCAATACATTTACCCATTCATTTAATCACATAAGAAATTAATAAAAAAACCTATAATATAATATTGTAAACACACTTTGTACTGATTTATATTAGTCATTTAAAATTAATTAGATTTAAATATTGGGAATACAAATTAGTTCGGTCCGTTTCTAAAAGATGGCTCCAGCTGTTCCAGCTGGTTCATAGTGATAGCTGATTTTGGCGGTTTCAGAAACCTTAGACATCTGCTAATAATATTCAGTTCATATTGCTTTGAGTTTCATACAAAAACCTTGATTTTTACTGTGTTTGAAATGTCGAATTTTGTGTTAACCAAGCAGCATTTGCGGGAGATTTTAATTTTCTGCTTTAATTGAAAGAAAAGTGCAGCTGAAGCCCATCGAATGCTTGTCGAAGTTTATGGTGACACTGCTCCAACTGATAAATGTAGGGAATGGTTTCGGCGTTTCAAGGATGGAAATTTCAGCGTTGAAGACAAGCCTCGCTCTGGACAGCCAAAAAAATTCGAAGACCAAGAATTAGAGGCATTACTCGAAGAAGATCAGAGTCAAACGCAAGAGGAGCTTGCAGAATCATTGGGAGTAACTCAACAAGCCGTTTCTGTACGATTGGGAGCCATGGGAATAATTCATTTGCGAGAAAAACGGCCGGAGTACGAGCAAAGACATGATAAAGTTATTCTTTTACATGACAACGCTCGGCCTCATGTCGCAAAAGGTTAAAAAAATATTTGGAAACGCTCAAATGGAATGTTTTACCGCACCCGCCGTATTCTCCAGACATTGCTCCTTCTGATTATTGGTTGTTCTGAAGTACAATATGCAGCACGATTTGGCAAGTCACCGATTCACTTCTTTCGCAGAAATCGAAAATTGGCTCCAAACTTGGATCGCCTCCAAAGACGAGTCATTTTTTCGAAATGGAATTCGAAAATTGCCTGAGAGATGGGAAAAAGTAATAGCCAGCGATGGACAATATTTTAATTAACCTGTTCATTCATTTTGTTTTGAAATAAATGCATTTTTGAACACAAAAAAACGGACCGAACTAATTTGTACTCCCAACAATTAATGTACTTTAAAATAGTTACTCTAATTAATGTAACTCCTTCCTTTAAAAATAGTCGATTTAAAGCATCAAACATTGTTTATTTGCAATGTAAATTCGATTATTCCTGCACATTCATTGCTCAAAACGTTTATCTCTCATAAGAGGGATCTAATAAAATTTCCATCTGCTATCGATGAGATGTTATTACCGACATCCTTACAGGAGTTTGCGTCCTTGTGAATATTGAAGTGATTAAGAATTAAAAACTGATAATATTGTACTAATTTTATGATTTATTGGTTTACAAATGTAGTTATTTACAGAAAATCAAAAAACAATACTCTACTACAATATGATACATTCGCGAACACATTTTTTACTAAATGTACCTATCCTTAACGCACACACACACGCCGCACTCGCCTACACAACGCAAAATTATCTATCCTACTTAACGCTGATGAATTTCCATCTCCGTTTTCAAATTTTTATTGCTTCGTTTACTTCTTCACTCTATTTTTTTGACTTTCAATCTCTCTCTCTCTCTCTCTCTCTCTCTCTCTCCTTCTCCTTCTCCTTCTCTCATTCTCACACATCCCCCCTCTCTCTCTTTCTTTCTCGTTTCACCCTTTTTTCGTTCAGTCTATCCCTACTTCTCCCTCTCCGTCTCTAATCATTTACCCCTCTCCCTCACCCTCTTCTTCCAATATTCTATCAACCACTTCCTGCCAGTTTTTCCTTTCGCTTTCCTCCCACACGCTACATCTCTCCCACATAAGCTCCCATGATTCCATCTCGTAACCACAATCTACATTTTCTTTCCTCTTCCCTTTCCTCTCTCTCATCCCATTCTCCAGCCTGAACCTGGCCTTTCCATCCTGATCCTTCTCCATCTGCTTTTCCCCACTCCTTTTTCAAATACGCTAGTATCCCCTTTATTCTCTTGTACCATCTATTGTAATTAGCCTCCTCTATTTCCTATCTCTCTGATCTCAGTATCTCTTTCTCTCTTTTTCTTTCCATTCGTAATACCCATCTCAAAAACCTATCATGTAATTTTCCCACTTCTTCCATCTCCTCCCATCCTCATATTTCCGCCCCAATCCTATTATCAGCCAAATCAACCTGTCAAATAGCCAGATTCTCCTTTCCCAAATCTCCTCTTCCCTATTCCCCACACTTGCCCTATGCCCGCAACTACTTTTTTTATCCTTTTTTTATATAAGCCTCCTGTCCCCCGTTTGTCTGCAATGTGCATTCCAGATTCTTAAATTCCTTCACCTCTTCGATTCTTTTCCCCCTTCACCACTATTCGCACTTTTTCCACCTCCCTTTCTAAACTTCATTATCTTTATCTTTTCTATGTTCAATTCTAAACCCTTTCTTTCTAGATATTCCTACAATTTCTCCATCATACTCCTCATCTCTTCTTCACTTTCCGCCATCATAACCATATCATCAGCGTATGCCAACGTAAATACTCTTCTCTCTCTCACTCTGTTATATCCCTGCATAGTTACTTAGGGTTTTTTGTTCCCCGCGGCAAAAGAATGAAGGGGGCGCTGGTTAGACAGAGGTGTGTAAAGCTTGAAATAAAGTGTGTGGCCACTTCATGAATCCGCGTGCATTAATTATCCCGAATACACTGTTCGCAACCGAGTTAGAACAATTTGGCGTCGAGGATAACACTGGAATTAATAGCATTCGATTCTTCTCCTGCTCGGCTCGGGAGGGAGGGAGGAGGTACGAAACATAAACCAGCGCAGGATCAAAAGATAACCTCTAGAAGACACGCTAGTAGTTCTCAACACGTCACAATGAACACAGAACAGTTAAAGAATTCTTACAGCTATTTCAAGCAAGTCAGCAACAAATGTATGCTCAATTGCAAAGTCAAATTCATTCAAGAAGAGATATAGGAAGTAACCAGGATAATGCATTAACACATAACATACTGCTTTTCGAAAAAATCGATATCAAAAAGAAGAAATTTAATTGTTATTTAGAACGATTCCAGAATTATCTTGCTATGAAGAATGTAACAGACGACACAAAATGAGCACAAATGTTTTTACATTCAATTGGTTCGAACCACTACAACACAGTAGCGGCTTTAGTAAAGCCAAAATCACTAAATGAATTTATATATGTGAACCATGCACGTAGGCTGCTGGAAAAGTTTCTGCAAACAATATGAAAAAAAAAACGTAAAATTCGATAAATGGCTTTATTGTTTTTCGAAGTATTCGCCTTTAAGATCGATACAATTTTGCATCAAACCAATTTTCGAAGCATTTTTTCCACTCTAAGGCTGTAACCTCAGAAATCAGTGTACAAAATGTTCCAACAGCTGCTTCAGACGACTCAAATCGCTCACCACGCATCTTATTTTTAATGTTTGGGAACAAAAAGAAGTCATTAAGTGATAAATCAGATGAATACGGATAATGAGTCATCAATTCGACATTATTACTGGATAAAAAATCAACGGTTTGACGTGCTGTGTGACAGCTGGCGTTGTCATGATGAAGGATGATGCGACGATTTCGGTTTGTTCTACGCAATTCATTTATGACTTCTGGCAAACAAACAGTTTTATACCAATCAGTATTTACAGTCCTTCGATCCTCTAAAGCCACGGTCGTGACATGTCTGGTATAACCGAAGAAACAAGCAATCATTTGCTTGGCAGCACTGCGTGAACGAACAACTTTTGTTGGTTTCGGTTCATTTTGAAATATCCAAACAGTGGATTGTTTACTTTCGGGCTTGTACGAATAGATCCATGTTTCGTCTCCGGAAACGACGTTGTAGACCAAATTTGACCTCGGTTGAATTTCTTGAGCATTTCTTTGCTCCATTTAACACGAGCCTGTTTTTGAGCTTCGGTCAAATTGTGTGGGATCCAACGACTGCAAAGTTTCCGTACGCTCAAGTGATCATGCAAAATCGTATGTATTGCTTTCATGTCAATGCCTAAGGATGCCTGAATCTCGCGGTATGTTATATGCCGGTCTCGCTCAATCATTTCACGCACAGCATCATCATTAGTAGCAACAACAGACGTGGATGGACGACCTTCACGGAATTCATCACTAAGAAAGGTACGTCCACGCTGGAATTCGACAAACCAATTATAAACAGTCCTATTGGATGGTGCTTCATCCCCAAAAGCCAAATGAAGTCGATCGATGCATTATTTCGGAGTTAGATTACATTTGTAATCGTAAAAAATCATTGCCCGAAAATTTTCACGCGAAATTTCCATTTTCTTACAAAATAACTTCTTTTAAAATACTATGCAAACAAAACTAGTTGGCTTGGGTACAAACTGTCAATTGAATTATAGGTTAAAAACGTCTAATTTTACGGATATGATAGTAGCAGAACATTGGCGTCACTGGAAGTACTAGATTGCAAAAACTTTTCCAGCAACCTACGTAGCAAATTCGGGCCCTTGGGGCCCTTTTTATACCGCCGCAAATTTGCCCAGGGTTGACGATCTTTAATAGTATCTCGGTGATCGCGTTCAGCAGACTTAACTGTTGCGAAACGGATCCGTGAACGCTCGCTGCTATTGGTGTATTCTTCTACAATAGATCATTCAATAGCAACGAGCGTTAAAGAATCTGTTCCGCAACAGTTAATCTGCTAAACGCGACTATTGTATTTATTATAATATTGTATTATATCACAATGCGGATGCGCCAGTACGTCAAGCAAATAAACAATGATTTAACGAAAACAAGTCGTGAGAAAAAGAGACAAGCTCGTTTAAAGGAAAAGGTAATATTATCCCCCTCGGGAAGGGGCGCACTTGCACACAGTTCAATTACACATACCACTCATATCGGTCGGTTCCTAATAATTTTGAACTGCTTTACCAATAAGATTATATTATTTTAAATTAGCCAATTAGCGATGTAAGCAATTAGTATACATCCGTATTGTGGCACCCTAGTTACATTTTACACAATAACTTTGTTAATAATCAATATTTAAGTTTAAAACTTGACAATTACATTCGTTAAAATGTTGTTGAATTACTTCTGGACTCAAAATTATAAAATATTGGGTGTATTCAGTGTATACTGAGCGCTCAGTGAGCGGTCGGAATAAGGCTCGATTGAGCACATTATCGATCGAACACGGCAGTATTTTTCAATCAAACTTGGACCCGATTGGACACGGACTTAACTGTACACGGACCCGATTGCACATCGACCCGATTGCGCACGGATCCGATTGCGCACGACCCGATTGCACACAGACTCAATCAGACACAATAACGATCGGAAAAATGGGGGAAACATTAGTAGATGATAAAAAAATATAAAATATAAGTATTTATATATCCACGCGAAGCGACTTTCACCTTTCCCCCTCCCCCTCCTTCCCTGCAAAGGAGCGCACAACTTCTACAATTGTACTGTTTGTTGAGATTAGAAAATCTATCATATAGACAGTGGAGTGTATGGACTAGTACTTATTGGTTCGTGGTGGCGTACAGGACCGTCCTGTCCGTGTTCTAATGCAATACTGTGTGTCCGATCGCGTCTGTGTCTGTGATCGGATCAGTGTTCAATCGGGTCCATGTCCGATTGGGAAATATTACTGTGTCCAATCGATAATATGCACAATCGGGAGCAATCGTAGTACTGAATACACCTATTTATTACTTAGGATGTATACTATTAATAAAAATGTAGCGACATTGCATAATGACTCGAAAAAAAATTGGGTGGTAATGTAGCTTTCCATAAAAATAATCTTAAAATATTAGTTTTATTTAGAAAACAGTATTTGATTACACAAAATTAACAAAAAAGTAAAACATTTTAAAATGTACACAAATGAATGTATATGTATAAATTCACATAACTTTTACACACAAGCTGCTCATCAGTACTAAAAATAGTACAGTCGAAACCTAAAAGGTTGCAACACTTTTTTTCGATGAGTTTCGGAATACAGCTTATTCACTGAACGATTGATTCTTAAGATAGCAAAACTAGAAACTAACCTAACGTCTTTTAATTATAATATAGTTGTAGAACGCAGAATGCAGAATGCAAAAATTGAGTAAACTTTAACTTTCGCGTCCTGCATCTTGCGTCTCACTTATTGCGGTCTGCGACCTATTACAATCTAAAATATGTTTCACTTGCGACTTGTGATCCACGTTCTGCGTCTTATGTAGATCGGATTTTATTTGTCGATCGATGAATAAAAATCATATATGTTGTTACGTCCAGCGGACTCTCACAACTCTTTTCTTTTGTGGAATTCTAGAATTTGTTGAAATAAAGAGACAGCTGCAAATAACAAACAAACTGAGTGATAGCCTAGAAAAGACTAAAAATCTTCTTTTCCCACACTAAAGACTAAAATAAAGAATCCAGTATCTCCTCGTAAATGTCGCTCCAAGATAAACTAAAAATTGGTGCACGTGTTCGAGCGGCGAGATCAAAGGAACACCAAGTCTGTACCTCTCGAACACTGCGGCTAAAATAATAATAAATACAGGGTTTGTCCGGAAAGTAATAGGACTGAGTCGATTAAAAAAAATTTATTGAGCCAATCGTTACAATTCTTTAAAAATTTTCAAAATAGGCTCCTTCTGCGTCGATGCAGCGCTGCTAGCGCGATTTCCAAGCATTGAAGGCGTCACGGAAGGCATTCTCCGGAATAGCCTTGAAAGCCGCGGTGCATGCTGCTTTGATCCCCTCTGTCGTCTCAAAATGCTTGCCTTTCATCGGCCTTTTCAGGCGAGGAAACAAAAAAAAGTCCGGGGGGGCCACATCTGGGCTGTAGGGCGGCTGCGGAAGCGTTGGGATGCCGGCCTTGGTCAGGTAGCTGTTCACAAGAAAGGCGGTGTGACACCTTGCGCATGTTCAAATGCTCCGTCACAATGTCATGAACCACAGATTTTGGTAAATTTAACATCTGGGCAATTAAACGAATACTTAGTCGACGGTCTGAGTTCAAAACTTTGTGCACACGAGTCACATTGTCGGTGTCGAAGTCGAAGGTCTTCCAGCACGGTCTTCATCGGCGACCTCTTCCCGGCCCTCCAAAAAGGCCTGGTGCCACCGAAACACACCACTTCTTGCTAAAGCAACATCTGGGTAAGCCTGCTTGATCATATCAAACGTCTCTGTCGCAGATTTACCGAGTTTCACACAGAATTTAATCGCGTACCTCTGCTCTAACGAACGCTGCATTTTCGGCTTGCACCACTCACAGAAACACGTCGCGCGAAAATGCCTGTCCTGACTCTCCAGGTGCTCGGAGACAACTGACCAGCCGCTCGTTCGTTAGCTAGGAAAGCCCTCTACCGAATCCAGTCGGTGCGAGCACGCTCCGAAGTACAGTCGCGGCGGAAGAAAATCAGTCCTATTACTTTCCGGACAAACCCTGTATGTCATTGGAAGCGTATGACCGACGCCAAGATACTTTTTAATGGTCAAGTCGTGATTCTCACGAGTCCGTGATCATAAAATCTAAAAAGCGACACGCGACGTTCATGAGTAGATTCTGAGTGGTCTCGTGACGACGCTGCACATGCGCTTTCTTGACGCACGTGCATTTTTCCGTAAATATTAAGGTCATAAAATTTAGAAGAACATTTTTCCACACTACAAACTCCAGTCAACATCCTTTCCTCCCCCAAAATCTTGATCAATCCGAGAGCAAAGAAAAATTCTACTACTAATTAACAAAACCTATTCCACCAATCCGAACCTGAGTAATCGGGAGTAATTAGTATAAAAACCACGGTTCCGCGGTCCTCAGCGTGATTTTTCTTTGAGATTTGGGAAGCTATAGTTGTCGGGACCTTTGAAAAAGGCTTCATTCGATTCTCGGAGCTCTTTTTCTCCAATAGAGTCAGTGTAAAATCACATTATCAACTTAAGACCAACGGCACCAACTGCCTGACTGGGGAAATTAACGAAGCGGAGCGACCTGGCGCCTAGCATTTCACAGTCGACATCCTCTCTGATAGTCTCTCGGGCACCCTATACATCATTATCGTCAAGTATAAGTTTTTATTTCGCTGCAGTACACTGGGTGGTCCCTCCTCTTTTTGTGTTTTCCCTCTTTAAAGAGGGCCCAAATTTTTAGTACGTTCACGCAATTCTTCACCGTCACCTAGCGGAGACTAACAATGCGCGCCGACTCACCGCCCATGTCTGCTCTAACACTACAGAAAACTCTAGAGAACAATCTCCGCTAAATCAGGTATCGGCCTAAGAACATTCTCGACTCTATCGCCACTAGAAATATCTTACTTCCCTGTCTCCGATCTGTTCCCAGACTTCTTTAATGACCTCTTCCCGTCCAGTCCTCCCTCTGTTCCACATCCGGTATCACCATCCCCGATTGAAGAACTTCCACCCCCTCAATTCCTCGTGTTCAAACCGACGCTTACTCTCCCCCTGGTCACCTTCCTCTCCTCTTTCATAACGCTCAATTATTGGAATACATGTTCTACTTTATCCCTTGCACTAACAACCGAGTAATAGTCAGCATTGTGGGATCCAGTTGCCTATTTTCAGTCCCCATATCATCCCTTATTTCCATCGATCCTTTTTCCCTCCAACCATATGACCCTACACAACTTTAATTTCCCCTCCTCCTTCCAAATCCTCCTCGCACAAAATAAGTATCACACACAACTCTCTGTCCATACACACGCGCGCGCGCACACACAAATCCGTACGTTAACACATTTCAGAATAGAGAACCAAAGGATTGTATTTTTATACTTAAGAAAAATGTATTACTAAATATTGCTTTTATTATAGTATTAAATTAATAGTTAAAATATACTATTAAATTAAACCCTCGTTTGTTAATTTAATAAAACCTTCCTTGTATTTATTAACTCTCCTGTGGTTGCATTTCGCCCTCTCCCCGGTCACTTGGATTAAGTTCCATGACCGAAAGCCAAGGCATACAGACGTACTGGCACATCTGGCGTTAAAGTGCGCCCTCCTGGTATACTGGCCCAGTTTGGGTCCTTTAAATTAAAAGTACGTCCGACTGTGTCCGTTTAGTAGAGTTAAGATTTCCATTTCGTCCTCCATTCAACCCCCGGCTCGCTAGGAGCCTCAGGATGAAGCGAAGTGTCTCCCGATTTGCGTCGATCCTTCCCCACAACTCCTTTGCGGTCCGGAGCCTGGATACGACGAAATCGGTCTAATAATTCGATTCCTGTTGCGTTCACTTAGCTCCATGCGTGCAGAGCTTGGACGTAACAATATAATACTCATATATTGCTAACGCCTTTTTCGGAGTGTCGTGAAAATTATTGTTTTTCATGTTTTTATGATAAATATGATCCTGCAACATGTATTATACCATCTACTTCTAATGAATAAAACACATTTAACATTTATTCCTGTTGTGTATATAATTGTTACGTCCAAACTCCGCGCGCATGCGGAGCTGAGGGGGTGAACGTAACGAGGAACCGAATTGTTAGACCGATTTGGTCGTGTCCGGACTCCGGACCGCAAGGGAGCCGTGGGGAAGGACCGACGCAAATCGGGAGGCGCTTCGCTTCGTCCTGAGGCTCCTAACGAGCCGGGGGTCGAAGCGGAAACCTCTGCTCGTGCTCCACTAAACAGACACACGAGTCGGACGTACTTTGAAAAAGGGCCCAAACTGGGTCAGTGTGCCGAAAGGGGCGCACTTTAACGCCAGCTGCGCCAGTACGGCCGTATGCCTTGACTTTCGGTCATGGAACTTAATCCGAGTGACCGGGGAGAAGGCTAAGTGCAATCGCGGGAGAGCTTAAGAATACGAGGAGAGATTATATTAGAAAAAAAAAAGACTACTGGGGAGTTAATTTAATAATAGTATAATATAATAAAATACAATATTGATCATA